GTTTACCATGAAGTAAATAATTGCAGTATTTTAATTTGTAATTTTTAATCAGTCTTGCATCTTTCCCCTGTCCACAGGGCGCATGCATACTACCGGGCTCATGGTTAGTAAGGTTGCTAAAAGAAAATGGCCCACTTATTGTGCCAGGCGCCACTGCCATGTAGACTGTGAGCAGAAAAGCAACACACTAAGTTAGCTGATGAAACTCAACTGGGATGTGTTGCAAGCCTCACCAGAGAGAGATGAAGCACAAAGTAGTATGAAAAATTAGAAACGCAGTAAGTTCATAAAGCCTGTTCTTGGAAAAATACAAGCTACAGCTGGAGGACAGACATGGGATGATGGAAATTCAGGAAACAGAGAGTCAATGAAATAAGGCAATTTGGAAAACAGAAACCCTAGGGAGCTCTTTATGGGGTGAGATCGGATGGGTGTGCGATGTGACGTGACAGAAAAATATGCAAGTGAGAGTTCAGCCCTCAGAACCAAAGCACCTCGCCATGTAGCCTGTGGCATCTGGTGAACAGACTGCAACTGCTTGCTGAGCACCTATGGTGGGGCACGTCCTTAGCACACGCTGATGCCATCCTCCATGCTCCTTGCAAGATGGGTACCATGATCCCTGCACCCAGCAAGGAAACTGAAGCTCGGAGAGATTAAGTAGCTTGCAGAGATCGGGATCACGGAGCTAGAAAGTAGTAAACTGGAATTTGATCCCATTGCCCAACTCGTTCCCAATCTCATCTCTCCATTTTGCACCTGGCCGTACACTGTTGGTGAAGACACAGGGAGAGGAGGGCACCCCAACTGTCAGGCTCTGCCAGGAGCACTGCACTGACCTGTCACTGATGTGCACAAGGACCAAGAGACAGACCTGAGTCCAGATCCCTGCACCAACTCTTCCTAGCTGTGTGGCGTTTAGAGCCTAACTTATTCTCTCTGTGTCAATTACAAAATGAGGAAAATGATGTTGTCCACATTGGAATCTGTGACAATTAATTGAGCACAGTACTTGGCTCTGGGAATTGTTTCACTCATTAAATACATAGCACTGATTCTAACTTTGTGAGTCAACCTGGAAAGGACTGGTCGGTTCACTCTTTTGAATCCATCAACTCACCACGAGCAGCCTATTCTACCTCTTGCATTAAGAACATATGCAATATTAAGCTAGGCTTAGCACGAAGATGATTGGAATATCAGGAATGAATCATTGGATTCAATGATTGGCTGGGTTGTGTTCAACAAGCTATACCTTCCTCAGGATTCACAAAACCTTCTCAAAGCTTTGTTTTGTAACAAATAAGCATCTGTAGTCTAAGAAATGTATCATTATTACTATTATTATTATTTTACAGTATTGGAGGTTAAATTGAAGGTTTTCACATTCCACGCCTTTTTAATATTTATTCTGAGACAGTTTCTCACTAAATCACTAAATTCCCCAGGCTGGGCTCAAACTTGTGATCCTCCTGCTTCAGCCTACTGGAGTGCTGGGATCATAGGTGTGCACTACCACAGCCAACCAGTCTAAGAAAATTTAGTTCTAAATGTAACAGGGAATGATGGTTCTGGAACTCATCTGACTTGGTTATGTTTCTCATTTTTGAGACAAAATACATGACACCCAATGTTAAAGGAGGAAATGTTTATCCAGCTTACAGAGTGAGGAGGTTTTAGTCCATAATCAGCTGAGCCTCAGGCAGGGTGGCAAGAAAGAGGAGAACCAGTTCATGGCAGGCAGAGGGAAGCACAGCTCTTTCTATCTCTTGTATTTTCTCTGGGTTACTTAAAGTGAGTAGCACTCACAGCCTTAATCCTAGTGATTTTGCATCTAGCATTGTACCATGAATCAGTCTCAGTGTCACACATTTGGGATTCTGTCACCTCTGAAAAAGCCTGCCTATGACTGGTTGAGGCTTTGGGAGGACATCTAGACACAAGCCATAACACTCTACCCCTGGCCTCCCAAAGATTCACATACTTTCCTTTATGCAAAAGGTATTTAGTCTGTCTCTAAGAGTTACCAAAGTCTTAACAGTTTTGGCATTGCTAAAAGCTTAAATCTAAAATCTCCTCTGAGATTTAAGGAAAACTCTTAGCTGTGAGCCCTTGTACAAATGAAAAGTTAAACACTTTTAACATTTAATGGCATAAGATAGACATTTTTATTTTGAAAGTTATAAACAGAAGAAAGGCAAAAAAGAAGGAATTCAGCAAGAACAAAATTTAGTAAGGCAAACATTAAAGCCCGCAGTTCCACTTCCAGCATCCATGAAAGTCTGTAAAAAAGGCTTGGGTGGCTTCGTCCCTGCGGCACTGCTGGCTCGTGCAGCCCTCACAGCTTTGCTCTGGGGCTGACTCTGCTCTTTCCTTGCAGTGTTAGTCAGACAATCCATATTCTTGGCTTCTCTGAACTTCTGGGGTCCCCATCACACTTTTGGCTTTCCACTCACTGCCTGCTCAGGGGCACACTGCCTGACCTCTCAGACCTTTTCCTGAAATATGGATGGAAGCCTTCTTGCATTTTGCATGCACCTAGAACCAGCGCCATGTGGGTGATGCTAAGATCTGCCTCAGGCTGGAATAACAGCCAGGCTTTTTTAAATTGCCTGTGAACCAAATTTTGAGAAATAAATTTTTTTAGGCCACCACATCCACTGTGGATTGTGGTGTTCTGTTGCTCTGTTTTTATTTTATTTTATTTTATTATGGCTGGCTCAGCCCATCCTGGAGGCAGGGCTGGCATGGCATACCATGCTGGGGATCAAACCACAGTCTCTGCAAGCTTGCCTAAGCTTGCCTAAACAGACTCTTTAGATCGCTAAGCTATCTCAAGGGCCCCTGTGACTCTCTTTTTAAAATCTTTTACTTTTGCATCTCTGAGACTATAAAGGCTGGAGTCTTGTTCATTCTTATGATATCTTAATGCCATTTTTTTTTTGCAATTAAAATTTCTCTTGCTCTATCTTTTCAGTCCACACCTTTCCAGCAGTTTTTTTTTTTTTCTGACCAAACTCACAATGTTTTAAATCATTTTGCTGGCATCTTTGTTATTGATTTTTAATGGCCCAATAGTAGCCATGCAACCTCCTCAACATTAGACTTCATTAGAAACTTCTTTTGCCATGACCAATTAATCTGCCACCCTTAATCTCAGTCTCAGGCAAAGCCACTAGTCATGAGAAAAATTCAAACTTTTGCTGAGGCATAATACATTGTCTGGAGTATAACAGTCCATAGTGCATCTTGACCTCAGCAGAAAGCTCCTGAGCCTGGTCATTCGTGTCAGAAATTTTATCGGCATTTGGTCTTCTGAGCTCGGGCCAGAATCTCCCAACAAGTACAGCCTCAGGTGTTTCAGCTGTGCCTTTTCACATGGCATTTCTAAACCTTTCCTAATTCTCCTTTTCCCACAAGCCAGCTCCAATGGCTCTTAAATGAAATGGTCAGCAGCAGTGACCCTACTTTTGGTACCATATTTTGTCTCACTTTCCTTATTGTTGAGACAAAATATTTGACACTCAAAGTTAAAGAAAAAGAGTTTATTTAGTTCACAGTTTGTAGAAGTTTTAGTCCATAATGGGCTTACTCCAAGACAGGGTGATACAGAAGAAGAAAAACAGTTCATGATGACAGAAGATAGCAAAACAATAAGGGACATTCACAGCTCTTTCTGTCTGTTGTATGAGCTGGCATTGGGCCTTGAATCAATCTCAGTATCACACACTCTAGATCTAGACAACTCTAGAAAGCTCTACCTATGACTGTATGAAGCTTTGAGGGGACATGTAGGCACCATGACACCATCTCAAATGAAGAGTGGTTGAAAGACAGGAAGGTCTGCAAGGTCTAGATGAGAAGAACATGGGTGCCATCTTCAAATGGTTGAATAAGTGGAGGGAGTCCTGGGACAGTAGTGAGGGGCCCCTCTACACTTAAGTTGTTAGTAAAATGAGATGAGTGGATAGATACCATGTTTTGCAGGAAGACTTCTCCAACATCATCAGCTGTGAGTATCACAGTTCAATTCAGGTCCAAAGGTAATATCTGAAGTTAGAGCAGGTCCTGGGGCATAGGCCTGGGAGACTGCTCCCATGTTAGCACAACATGTGTATCTGATTTGGACACAAAAATCAAGGGTACTCATGACCTCACTTCAGGTTTTATAGCAAGGGAACACATCACAGGACTCAGGAAAGTGCTATGCTTGTGCTTAAAGTTTTATTACAAAGGTTACAGCTTAGAAATAGCCAAATAGAAGAGATACAGACAGTCAAGTATGAAAGATGAAGGGCATAGAGCTTCCATTGCTTGGAAGCTGTCTGAATCATGTTGCTGTGGAATTCATATGGGTGTCATTGTTTAGGCACCAGTGATTACATTGTTCATTGGTCACATGACTAAATTGAGTCTCCAGTGTCTCCACTCTCCTTGCTGGCGAGGGGACAAGGGTGAAAATTCTAACCTCTTAATCAGGAGGCTTGTTCCCCCATACCAACCCCCACCTGAAGCTATGTGGCCTTCCCAATCTTGTGACTGTAATCCCCTACCTCCTTAGCATAAACTCTGGTAAGGGAGAAAAATATTCATTGTGAATAACAAAAGACACTCCTATCATTCAGGAAATTCCAGGGGCTTTAGGGGCTTTTTGATAGGAACCTGGGACAAAGACCAAATTATTTTTATTATACCACAGATACACTTCAACATCCCTTATGTCTCTAACAAGCTGTATTTAGTGGTTCTAAACCCAATTACAAGATAAAATTCAATTCAGTGTAAGAAAATACCTTCTTAACCAGGACTCTTCAGCATTTTAACAGGGTGCCACCAAAGAGCTGAGCTACCTGGACTAGGAAGTGATCTAGCTGAGGTTGTCTGAGCCCAGTCAGGGATGCTGAGGAGAAAATCTCTACACGGAGTGTAGCTTGGACCAGATACCCCCACATCACCATTGTGAAAACGTGGTGTGAGGTCATCGCCTTTCTTGATTTCAGAGTCGAGAGACGCTCCCATTTTGGATGAATAGTACTGGCAAGAGAGAAGGCTGGCAGCGTGGATGGCACGGATATGACAACGAGCTCATGGACATGAGGGGCATCTTCCTGGCCTTTGGACCTGGTAGGGAAAGAAACGACCGCATGCCCTTAGCTATTCCCAAGGAAGTATCTGTAATAGGGTCTAATCACCCTAGTAAAGACCAGAGTGATTTCTTTATGGATCCTCTTTATGAGCCAACCTAAGGAAACCCAGCTGCTTTCCATGAAACATCTTTTTTTTGGCTTCCTTTCAAATGCTTCTTGGGTTTGGCAATTGTGGCCAAATACTTTTCCTTGTAAATTTTAAATCCTGAGTGCAGTGAAGAAAATGTATTCCACATGTTTGTGATTCATTTTTTACTTAATTCATCAAAATGTTATTTCACAGCTATCTGATATCCAGGAAAGCTTATCAGACACCATGTTGCTGACAGCTGTGAGTCTCAAAGTTGACACAATGACTTCAAGGGGTCTGATTCTTGCACAGTTTTCTCTCTGTGTACAGCACCTATCCCTGTAGGGTTTATTTGGTTTAGAGCCCAACCAGAAGCTAGGATATGCTCAAGGGCGGGCTCTGAAATGACCTTGAGATTGACTTTGAGAATGAGCCAGAATGGCTAGGGATATCTTGAATAAAAACAAATTCACTGTGCCTTAGTTGATCAGATTATATTCCAAATGGCTGGGAGGAAGGGGAGAAAAAGAATGTCTATTTGATCATTTGATTTAATTGATAGGGTACTAAAAATTCATAATAGAGATTAATGAATACGCTGCAGATCCTACTACCACCTGAATACCCAATTCTTTGCAAAAATAAAGGATAGGATTCAATAGTCATAAACCATCAGTTAGTTGACTAATTCATGAGCTACTCTTTATTCTTTTATCAAATATATTTATCCTGATATCTGCATTACAGATGCCTTTTTCTGGATGTTGATCAAAATGTTGCAAGAAAGCCCAGTGTTTCCTTTCAAGTAATATGTTAGACATCCATCCATAGACTCTGCTCTTCTCTTCAATGGAATAAGACCAAAGACATGTCATCTCACACCTCAGTTCACTCTATTTATGACAAAATGGCTATTAAGAACCACAAGATGTGAGTTTCTGCAACCTCCATCAGTGTTTCAGGGAGTTCAGAACACATTGGTCCAAATATTTTCCCAAACAAGAATCTAGTTCTTAAGTCCTGAGAATCAGAACCAGTAGCAGCAAATATTTATGGAGCCCTAATTGAGTTCCTAACATTGGCCTAGGAGAGTGTCTGAGTTTGTTGCCACTGACCAAAGAAAGTTGTCACATGCTTCATGCCAGCCAAGCCCCAAGTCAGCAAGCAGCTCTCCAAAACTGGAGAAATGGAATGATGTCTTGAAGACTATGTTGAAGTCAGCTAAAGACAGGAAAAGACACTGAAGAGTCATGGAATGGGAAAATGTGTCTGAGCAGTCAAAAGCATCACCCCCTGTTTCCCCAGAAGAGATCATGAATGCAAAACAATTGCTTATTGAAGGGATGTATATGAGCAGGAGTCTCAGGCATATTTTATAGCAGATCCATATCAAGCCCCAAACTGAAACTGTTGAGCAAAGTAATACCAAGCTGTATTAACTTAGATTTAAATTCAGTGGAGAGATTTTGTCCATTAATGAAGGGCTCCATCATGTGCTCCTTTAACACTAAAAGCCCTCAGCTCTTTACAGACGGAAAGGCGACCCCTGATGAAAATGGACCACGCTAATTGCAAAATGCTTCTAAGCAGATATAGCCTTGAGAGCCTTCCGCAAACTATCACGTTCCTGCCTCCAATTCTCATGAAAGATTAAACAGCTTTACACACTGACTGTTTACTCAGAAGAAAATTTAAGAGCAAGGCCTTTAATAGCTGGCTCGCTGCTCTTGGAGATAAAGGTGCGCCCTCCTGATTAATTGTCTGTGCTTGTTGCTTAGGGAGGAAGCAGGGCATCATGCAGCTGCCCGCATACCAGCCCTGGAAGTCAGTAAGTCTGGCTGGGCAAAAAGAAAGGGAAATAATTTGGAAGATAGCCTCTCTCTGGTTAATCCCACTTTCTAATTTGAACAACCTAATCTTGCCCTGTAGAGCTCTGCATTCAAGATAAGACAGCAGGAGTGAGATGCCATGAGCTACTGCAAGGTAGCCAGCCTTCCTCGGACAGTGGCCTAAGGTGGCCTGGCGCGGCGGGAACCATAGAGCCTTCTCTGTGTAGGAGACACATGCTTAACATCCTAAAAAATTGAAACCCATGAGAACAGCCATAGGATTCCTAACCTAGGTATAAAGTGCTATTGTGGACTGCAGAACTTAATGGGATCCTCCCAAGTTGAGCTAGGCATTCTCAATTCAGGAATTTTCTAGTAGCGTTTATTCCAACCTGGATCTTCTCTGCATTGGGCCAAAGTTCCATCCTGAAAGAATAAGAGGTGACTGGAGGGGAAAAAAAATAATTCTCCTTCCTGATTATGTGCATAAGATTTCCTTTTGTTCTTTCAAAAGAGAAAGAGAGAGAGACACAGACAGACAGACAGACAGACAGACAGACAGACAGACAGACAGACAGACTCTCTCCTTATGCTTTTGTCAGAAGAGCCTGACCTCAGTTTTTCATGTAAAGAGTTAGATATGGTTTTTGTTTTGTTTTGTTTGAAAGGCTGGATAAGGGCATCTTACTGCCCTCTCACACACCCACATGACAAGGACATGGTCACATGTGCTAAGTTGTGTGACTGTCGCATCCAGGGCATATCACAGTTCAAGCAGAGAAGAGCTTCCGGTTCACTAGGACAAACTTCCCATTGATTTCTTGCACTGCAGCAGATTTTTCTGGTGGGTAAGTGCAACCACCATCCTCATCCTATTGTGCACCTTGTTTTGATGTGAAAGAGGGGCTGACACTGAAGCATCCCCTGTATCTCTCCCCTCCAGGCAGGTTTGAGGATTTTTAAACTAGTTTTTGCTTTGAAATGACACTGACCCTTATCTTTCATGCTCCAAAAGAAAAATGAACTTGCTGCATAATTTATAAGGTGAAAATTTTCAGTCTATTATTTGCCCTAGCTGGTGTTTATTATACATATTTATACTAATAATGATTATCATTTATTAGCATAACAATTATCTCTGAAACTATGGCTTAGGTAAGATTACCACTGTCCATTTCCTATGGAACCAATGCACCTCTTTACAACTGAGTTCAATTTTTAATTCTCCAAAGTGAGGAAAATCCATCACCTGAGAAGTTATCTTGGATCTAAAATGCTTTGCAACAGACTTTTCTGTATATAACGTTTTTTTCATACTTTAATTCTAGAAACAGAATTTGCTGTTACTTTTGAAATGTGTTGTTAGCATTGTTTGATTAGTGTTTTTTTTTTAATGTATTTAGTACAGGGTTTACAGAGTCTTAATGCACAGATAGGACTTGTAGTGGTCTTCCTGTTTTCAGCCTCCCAAGTGCTGGATTGCAGGCACGTGCCACCACACCCAGTCTCAATTGCCTGCCACCTCAGTGTGCCCTGGGGGTGGGGCCAGCACGGCACACCGGGGATCCTGATTAGTTTTTAAATAAAGTATATATGCATTTTTGCAAAGCAATTATATAGATTATTTTCTAAAATAGAAAATTGGCTTTGCAGCCATAAACTACTTATTTCCTTTAAAAGCCACAGATGAACTAGAGACACAGATCTTTATTGATAGATTAACATTCTACCCTTGAATTCAAACTTAATATTGCCTTTGGGAATTTTGTTGGACATTTTTGTTTGGGCCCTAAAAGCAAAGGTGATTATGCATATTTCTATATTATTATATTCACTACTTAAATGGACAAGGGCTTTGTACTCAGCATCTTATTTCCTTCTATGGAGAAAGAGATTCACTTGATTAAAACCCCTCCATGGCTTCAAGAGGTACCTTTGGTGCCCCTGGAGTTTATGCTGTGAAGGGTCAGCTATACCCTTTACACTCCTTGAACCATTTAGATTAGTGCTTCAGTTTGAGGCAGGCTTGGGTAGAGGCACAATGCTCTTCTTCTTTAGATCCAACGGAGCCTTCCCTTCGGTCCCTTACTCCCGCACTAGTTTGCTCATTTTCCTCCCAGCTGTCATCTTGTGTACCTCCAAAAGGCTCCTAAGAGGCGCTCAGTTGATCTTCCAGACATATTTAGGAAACCATTGCCATGTTGGTGAGCAACCAGCCCTGAAGGTGTTTTGTGGCTTCATATCCTGTGGGGACCTGTGCCTTCAATGTGCAAGAAAATGCAGAAACATGCTGGAGTTACCACCGGCCTTCTGCAGCAGACACCTTCTGCAGCACCCGGCTACCAGTCCTGATAGACAGATGTTCCAGGAAATGGGCATGCCGCTTCAGCAGAGTCCAGCAAGAGTGTCAGTCCTCTCTGACTATACTGGCTCCTCAGTGCTCTACAGAACTGGAGCAGCCTCAGCTTGTCCTTCTGTCCCAACAGAAGTGCTATTGTCACAAAGGAGTCAAGTTAGACACAAAGAATTTGTTTGCTGGCTTATCTTGTAAGGAGACTTATCTCCAGATAACTCAAGGCCATGGAAAAAAGATGACTGAAACATCTGATTTTTTTTTAATCCCTAAGTTGCCTAGAACTGAATGTGATTCCTCCACGTTGGGATTCAGCCCCGCGGTACCTGGCGACCAGCCATGACAGCTTGTTTTGTTTTCCCTTTCCTTTCAGATTTCAAAGCCAACTTCAGAGCTGCTCCAATTAGATCTGTGGATGTCTACAACGTTATGTGCAACGTGGCAGGTGTCACTCCGCTACCCAACAACGGTTCATGGTCCCGGGTAGTATGCATGCTGAGGAGCCAGGCCAGCATGGCTGCCTCTGTCCAGAGGCACAGCTTTGTGCTGGCCTTGATTCTTCCCTTACTGTTTGCATGACTGAGCATGTATATTGCTTGTCCCAAAATATTGTCAGCAAAGTGTGCTTCCAAAGTGAAATGATATTCATTTTCTATGTGAATAATAGCTTCATTAACATAATCAAAGCCATATAATCTGTACATATATTATGGGATGATTTGATACCTAAAACTCCCTAATTGATTTTTTAAAACACCCAAACTTTATTTTTTCTCAACATAAGAAAACCTTAGCTTTTCATTTATTCAGCTATCTGTGATGGTCTCCTTCATTTCATGTAGTTACATATAGTCTGAGAAGTAACTACCCTAAGGAGCCAAGCTTCAAGGGGCTACTCCATGGTTATCACTCCTTGTCTGAACCTACCCAAAGGAGACCTTCAGACCAGGTCCTTGCCTGCCCTGTCCACATCTGAGAGCCATCTCTAGTGGTTTGTGGCCACAACCTTCTACTGTTCCTTCCATCCTGGAAGAGGTTTACAGAAAAACAATAGCTGCTCTCTGTTCTTAACACTGCTCATGGAGTTTTTGTGTACTATGCAAAGTCCTAGAAAGGATGCAACATGAGCAGGGATCACCGTTCAGCCAACTAGAAATCCCTGAGCATGGGAGAATCCATAAAACAATGTAAAAGACATCGGTCTCCCTGAAGTCTGAGTACACAGTAATTTCTCCCTTGCCTTGAAAGAAAAAAAAAACTAAAAATGCTTATAAGTTTCTGTGAGACATATTATACACAGAATGTCATGGCATGAAACCTATAAATAATAGATCTTGAACATTAATGGCCTGACAGTCAGAGTTCCCTCCCAATTGTCTAGGAAAGCTACTTTAGACATTGCCTCTCTGGTTCCAGATTTGGGCTGTAGACCCCAGTAATACCTGGCATGTCAATATATACTGGAGAAGGGATAAATATCTTATCAAAGAAAATATGGACACAGCACAGAAATGCTAGTTTATTGCTATGAAACGTAAGTTCTATGGATCAATAGTCCTGAATCAGAGCTTAGCTAACAGCTCTAAAGGGAATCCTTGAATGGCGCAAAATTCCATAGGAAACAGTGGGAGAGCGGGAGGAAGGGAAAGAGAGCGCAGCAGAACTCCTAGCCACTGACCAACCTTCCACCGGATTAAGAAACAAATGTCAAAGTGGTGGTCAGTGTGCCAGCTTATACCTCTAAGAAGAGTCACTGAGCCTGACTTAAAACAGCTTTAGTTTACTCACCTAAGTTTCTATATGGGAGTTCATCAAATAAGATTTTTAAATGATTAGAATCTTAGTATGTACACACAGTGCCCAACAGATGATGGTTTAACTTTTGCATTGATTTCATGATGGTGCAAAAGCCATCCCTGTTCAGTAGACATCATCCTTTCAATCTTGAATGTGTAACAGCTGATGTGATGTAGGCTGTTTGTCACTCTCTCTGTGTCCCAAAGAACCACACAACTATGGAGGGACAGCTAATGCAGTGTCCTGTGTAGCTATATGCAATGCTTTAATAGGGTTGGTGTATTAAATACATTTTCCATTGAATGATATTTTAACTTACAAGGGGGTTTATTGAGACTGCATAACCCATTCATAAATCACAGAGCATTTGTCCATAAATCCTACTATTGTATTCAAAGTGCACATACACTAGATGAGGCCATCTGCAAATGAGACATCGTCAGGATAAGACAGCACATGCGATCCCTATTGGATAAGGAAGCCCTTACGTGCTTTCTACCTTGAAAAGTGAATCTCAGCGTTCACCCTAACACAGAAAGGCTGGGAGCCATCTCTGGGCCATGAATCATGGGACCAGAGGATCAGTTCTTAAAAATATTCAATTTATCTTCACAAAAGATTTCCAAGGTTTTATGTAATATGTTTTTAAAGCTCCAGTAAACGTTGAATCAATTGGAAAGGAGGCAAATAAGCCTTTGTTGTGTGGTTGAAAGCAAATTAGTGCTTTCAGAACCTTGGCATTGGCTTTTGAAACAGATGTCTATTGTTCAAAGTTTTCTTTCCCTTTAAAGGACATGTTTTGTTGAATTAAATGGAGCCCACTTCCTCCTTTATGAAGGAAGGATCTCTAAGACATCCTTAAGCAATTAAATTAAAAGTGAATCATCAAAATCAAGAGGGGATAAACACATACATGGTCAAGTTACATAACAAAATTCCAGATATTTGTTTGACAAAGTATAATTTCCTAATAAGTACTATTAAATAAGTGAAAGAATAAGATTCCAATGGAATCATGAATACTGGCCTAATAAAAAAACCAGCCTAATGGAAAAAAATCTTTTTGTCTAATATAATACATATATTTCAGTGGCTTAATTGATTAAATTTGTTGCCTTTTATTTTTCTTTTAAATTTATATTATTTTCCTAGGAAAATTCCATTTTGCCAAAATGTTTTTTGTTCCACAGCAGTAAAATATACAAGAAATATATATAGGTACTTTTGTCCTGGATTATTTTATAACATCACTGCTAATTCCAAGAGAAAGATTAATTGGTTGGATTTGTCAATAAGAAATGAAAAGCTGTTCTTAAGTTAAAGATGAATTGAAGGTCCACTTTCCATGCTCACAGCCTAATTTCAAGAATCCAATTCAAATAAATTCTGTAGGGCTGGTGAGATGGCTCAGTGGTCTAAAGCACCTACTTAGAACAAGCTTAGCAAAGCACAGCCACCACGGTTCAGTCCCCCAGCACCACATGCCAGCCAGCCCCGCCCCCTGGTGGGCTGAGCTGGCCATGCACGCGAGCGCACACACACACACACACACACACACACACACACACACATAAATGAATAAATAAAATTTAAAAAAACAAATAAATTCTGTAAACTAAAACATATTAAGAACATTTTTCTAACCCAGAAGAGTCCTGCATTTTAGAAGCCCAAATCTCTGCCCAAATCTCTTTACTTTTAAAGAGATTTTAGAAATTCATATCAGATATTTGTTCAGTTATAGACAGTACTTTGTATAGTTTACGGGTTTTTAAGCATTGTCTGACCCACCTTCAGAGATGCCAATTCACAGGATCTGTTGTAGGGTGTCAGACAACCCCTTTCTGTCACGTTGATCAAAGCTGTACGTTTGCTTTAGGGAAAGGTATGTTCTGACTTGACTTGGGAAACCCAAGTACCCTGGGAGCTATTTCTTAATCAGTGGGCATCTCCCAGGGCCACCAGGCTGACACTGGCTATTAACCCCACTGAGTTAGACTTCCAGCCTTCAGTACCAAAGCAGATCTATAAGTGCCACTGGTGGAGGGAGTGATAAAAAAAGATCAGCTCAGCTTGTCCACACCCCACACCTTGAGGATCTAAGATTCTTGAAGGTGCTAGCAGACAAACGAAGACATTTGTTCAAAGCACATGACTATTTTTGAAATTTCTGATGAAGTGTTTGAATTTGTATAAATATCAAGAGATTATCAGATGTGATCATGCTTTCTCTTTTTAAGCCATTTGTAATAGACCAAAGTCAGCTACGCTACTGTAAACCACCTGCTAGGAAAAAAGGAGGAAGTAGCTTTGACACATTAATTACAAAACTTTCGAAACTTGGTCTCAGGTATATACAATGGAAATGTATGTTGCTTTCAAATCATAAAATAGCACCCCATACAGTGCCTTAAGTGTTTCAGAAGTGTCTCATAAACGTATGTTGAAAGAAATAAAGAATAAATATCATCAGAGAGACTTGCTTAAACTTCAGTTATTCTCTTTGTCTGTAGTTCCTCTAATTAAGTGAATTTTCCTCTTTCAGCTTGTTATACTTTCTCATTACCTAACTGACAATACAATTATATCTTAATTCATATATAAAACATGTTTTATTCCAGTCTTATAAATCAGATTGAAGGAGAGAAGGAAAAGGGAAAGAAGGAAGGAAGGAAGGAAGGAAGGAAGGAAGGAAGGAAGGAAGGAAGGAAGGAAGGAAGGAAGGGAAGGAAGGAAGATTTTGTTTGAAATATATTAAGCATATTATCTTTTGAAAATGTAACAGTTTTATTGAGATTGAATTCACATACCAAATAATTCCTTCAACATGTACAATTCCACACTTTTTGTGTGCACATAGAATTGTACAACCATCACACAACCACTATTAGAATCTTTTTATCGCCCAATTCATACCCATCAGTACATTAGCAGCCACTCTACAACCCTACCTAGGTACCCACCAAACTACTTTCTCTATCAACAGATTTGCCATTCTTTACATTTCATAAAAATGGAATTTAATCATTTATAGATGGCTTTTTCATTTGCATAAGGCTTCTGAAGATATAGCATGAATCAATGTGTAACTCTTTTTAAAAAAAGAATACTATTTCTATAGATATACATTTTACCTATCCATGTGTCTGTTGTTGAAAAGTTTTCATTATTGTGTTAGATATTTTTAATCATTTATTTATTTAATTATTTGGTACAGGGTCTTGCTGTGCAGCTCAGACTCGTAGTGGTCCTCCTGTCTCAGCCTCCACAGTCATGGGATTACAGGCATGTACCACCTCACCTGGTTTTAGTGGTCAGCTCAGCATGGGATACTGAGGATTGAACCCAGGTCCTTACACTTGCCAGGCAGGCACTTAGACTGCCGAGTTATCTCCCTGGCCCTATTTTTCTAGATATTTTAAATAATATTGCTCTAAAGAATTGTGGACATATGCTCTCATTTCTCCTGGGAATACACTGAGGGTAGAAAGGTGATTTCACATTCCTACCTATGGTATATGAGGGTTCCACCTTCTCCATATCTTTGTCAGTCCTTGTTGTTTTCTGCCCTCCTGTATTAGAGCTGTGATAAGGAGTTTGTGAGGTGGTATCTCCCTGTGGTTTTACTGTGTTACCCTAGTGATAAATCACAGAAAGCATTTTTATGTATCTACTGCCCATATGTATATCTCTGATAGAGAAATACCTATTCACTTTTAAAAATTAATTTTATTGAGAAACAAATAGCAATGAGACAGTTTCAAAACAGGCTAGTAGGACAGTTACAATAATTAATACATTGCATATTGTTGTCTTCGTAGTAGTTATTCA